GTTCTGATTTGATGTCTTGAACGCCGAGTAAAAACTGTGGCGTAAAAGCATGACTTGCCAATTTTGATATCTACACGTCCTTACTATWTTCCCAGTTTTAAATAATCGGTTTGAATGTTTTAGCGGGTTTTTTTCAACGTCAGTCATCCTTATTTTAATAAGGCTTAAAAGCTTAAAAGCTCCTTTAAGGCTCTGGATCAAGGCTGTATATATTGTCGACCACCTTAGAATTAAGAATTTTATTAAAAATACCTAGTCATGATGAAACATTATTTATTTATATATCCTGGCAATATCTAACACTTCCAGTCTTTGCTTCCATAGCCGATCGTCCGATAGGTCTCAATCATGCACATTTATGTTTTGTTCAATATTATTTAATTAAAGTATTTACTGATTAATAAAGACTTCCACAAGAATTATTCTCGTAACAATATTTCTTAGCGTTTTTGCAATTATGACACTTCTTTACACGCCGAAAAAGATAACCAACGGGAAGTATAACTTGCCCTGGCAAACCAGTAATTCATTGAATCTCATTAAGAGTCGATCACTTTCTACGTGGATGTTAAGGACAAAGACGAACGTAAAAGAAATTTCTCTTTTTAAGAAGAAAGATATTTTGTTTGTTTGAATATCTCTAATCCAATAATGGTTAATGCAGTGCGCGCGATTTTCTAGTGATATGTCGTATTCTAAGAGATATGAAAAAATTAAACTGAATCAAACTAATAGCAAATGCGTGGATCGAAGAACGATCCTAGTAATGACGTCGCTTGCCCGACGATCAAAGTAAATCAAGACATTAGTCRACTGTAGAATGTAATAATATATCGACCTTCTCATTTTAATTTTTAGAAATTTAAGCAATTAAAATTGCTTTTGGCCCYTCTGGTTCGTCTTCTGGAAATAAAGGAAGTTAATGTCAACTAATGTTAATAACTCATGCAGTGTTGACCAAAATAGACACTAAAAGCATTAAGTCGTCAAGTTGTTTACACACAAAATATTGATGAATCATTTCCTTAAGATGATTTGGAAATAAAATCTACATTTAAGCATAATTACATCTTAAAATGCTCTTTTCAGTCAGTGCTCAAGTCAACACAGGAAATGCAGCGAGATTTATTTGGCCTCGTGAATTTGATTGCAATTTTCACAACACTTCAGAATGCAAAAGSAAACCACAGGTGCATCGTGAAATCTGTCAGCGGAGTTGCACTAAAAAATTCCGTCATAAAGTCTTATCACAACCCAAGCATTCACGAATGTTTCACGGACTGCAAGAAAAACCCGGACTGCAGAAGTGTCAACTTTTTTATCAAGAGTTCGCTATGTGAGCATAATAACATTACGATATCAGACAGTCCTGCCAACAAAGTCGACAACGATGAAGCGACGTACATTGACAATCCAACCCCTAAAAGTAAGTCAGTTTATAATATACACTGTGACTGGCCATTAATYATATGATTCTGTCGATAACAATAACTACGAATAGAATAATGATAACGTAAATCAATGAATGATTAATGATAGTAATGATGTTTACTAATAATTTACTTTTCTTTCAGAAAAGACAACCGGATGGAAGTTAATCGCACGATTTTCAAACTCGGACACCAAGAACTGGATGGCTGTTAATGGTGCCTGGTGGTACGACATAACCACTACTCAGGGCGACACTTCCAATACAGCTGTCAATCAAGATATGATAGCGTCAGGCTTTTGGACAACCAAAGGATACGAAATCAAGGTAACCCGAACCGATGACCCCACCCACACACCTCTTTTAGTGACCACTTCCAACTGTCTCGGTGGCAAAACATTTCGAGAGAAGATTTCCAGCTTTGGCAACTTTAGAAATGGAGCGATTTGGTCTTCAYATAAATGTCTTGGTAAATGTACGGTAACCTATGGTGGCCAGTACTCAACAACCGCAGGATTTTCAAAGACAAGTTGTGACAGTAATGTACTCACAAGAAATCAAATTGGATTTTGGTGTGACTACAGCTCTGGAGCTGGAGCAGTCATTTCGATTGGCGGTGCTGGAAGTGCTTGCGATAGAGCTGACCACGGCCTTGCTGTCACAGAGGAAAACGCGGGAAAATTTGGAACCAGTGCAGGTTGCGACTTTGGAGACGATGGGTTATCTTCCTGCGCTAAACAGTCTTACGCACTTAACCTATGGATTTTAGTCGGCCCAGTACCACCCACAACATCGGTAAGTGTTTCATGAATCCAGATCGTTGTTCCCTTCAACGACGTCAAAATAAGAAATTGCACCACAAAAAAAGTTAAACATTCAAGACGAAATACACGTGTGTGATAGGCTCTATCGCGCCTTTTTGTGCTGCCATTTCCCAAATGAACATTTAATGTGTATTGTTTTTTAACGTATTTTAATTCTTGTAAGGACTGGAAGTTGATCGCACGATTTTCAAACTCGGACACCAAGAACTGGATGGCTGTCAATGGTGCCTGGTGGTACGACATAACCACTACTCAGGGCGACACTTCCAATACAGCTGTCAATCAAGATATGATAGCGTCAGGCTTTTGGACAACCAAAGGATACGAAATCAAGGTAACCCGAACCGATGACCCCACCCACACACCTCTTTTAGTGACCACTTCCAACTGTCTCGGTGGCAAAACATTTCG